GTGCAGGGACAGCGCAGCAGCAGCAGCAGCAGCAGCAGCAGCGGCAGGAGCAGCAGCAGCAGCAGCAGGAGCAGCGGGAGGAGGGGGAGGCCGAGTGCAGGTACTTGCAGGGGAAATGCGAGCAGCTGCTGCTGGAGGAAGCAGCAAGAAGTGCTGCAGCAGCTGCAGCAGCTGCAGCAGAAGATGATTTCATCAGGGCCCAAATCTTGCTGGATATCGACAGGGCCAGAACCAGGCGCTCCGCGGGGGCGGGCCCCAGCGGCCTCAGCCACAAACACAGTCAGCTGCTACTGCTGCTGCTGTTGCTGCTGCTGCTGTTGCTGCTGCTGTTGCTGCTGCTGCTGCTGTTGGTGCTGCTGCTGGTGTAGGTTTTTGCGCTTTCGCTGCTTCGCTGGGCGCAGGGGAGGGGCTACAGCGTGAAGCGCTCAGAGGCGGCGTACGGCCCTGCTGCTGCTGCTGCTGTTGCTGCTGCTGCTGCTGCTGCTGCTGTTGCTGCTGCTGCTGAACCCGTGGCTAGTTTTTGCTGCTGCTTTTTCTGCACTTGCGGCGGCCCGTTTGTAGTTGCTGTGCTTTGTGGTCATGTGCAGGTGCAGCAAGAGAAGGAGCAAGCGCTGCTGCTGCTGCTGCTGCTGCTGCGCCCAGGGCCAGCGCTAGCCCTGCTACTGCTGCAGCAAGTAACACTGAAGATGAAAGCGAAGCATCTTGTTTGAGGAGAAAAGAAAAGCGGCGAAGACCGACTCGGCTGAAGCCGTGCCAGGCGCTGGTGAGACCAGTGGACACTCCTGCTGCAGCAGTGAACTCCTGCTGCAGCAGCAGGCATGTGTTTCTTCTTTTTAATTATTTTTTTCTGTTTCTGGGCCCCAAGGTGTTCCTTTTGTTCTCTTAAGCAGCAGCTCTCTTCTCTGGGCTTCTGCCTGGCGCCCGTGTGTTTTCTTCTGCTGCTGGCCGTCGTTCTGCCTGCTGCTGCTGCTGGGCAGCAGCAGCAGCAGCAGCAGCAGGAAG